AACACTTATGCTTATCTTCAAGCAAGTTAAAATCCCTCTTAAGTATTCTAAAAGTTCTTGCCCAAAAAACATATTTCCTTCTTTATCTTTCAGCAAATCTTTTCTATTTTGCTAAGAATATCTGTGTGTAAAATTATATTGTTTTAGATAGGTTATCTTTACCTTGTCTATTTTCATATACAATATGTAAAAATCTTTATTGATCTTTCTTTATCAATATATATTTTTAAATTTGAAAGTTTTCTGTGTTTGTATCATCCCCCCCTTCTACAAACTGTTTCTTTAAAACTCTTGTAGACCCAACTGGGACCAACAGTCTCCAACATTTGTTTAGTCAAAAAGAGTTAAATATGTGGCAATGATAATGGATTGAACTGGAAAACGATTATGATTGTGAGATTTTCTACCATCCGATAAAAACAAACGTGATAGTAGACGCTTTGAGCATAAAAAAGAAAAGTAGTACGATCAAGGCAGTAGCAATGAGAATGAATCTATTGCCAGATCTCCACAGTGAAATTTTAAAATGTCAAGAAGAAGCAACTATAGAGGATAATTCCAAATTCGAACGAATGGGTAAAATGATTTTTAACCTGGAAAAGAATGACAAAGGAATTTTGTGCTTTTAGGGACGGTATTTTATTCATCCCGGTACTAATAAAATGTATAAAGATTTAAAATCGTTTTATTGGTGGTCCGGATTGAAGAAAGACATAGCAAGGTACGTTGAACGATGTTTAACATGTTTGCAATTGAAGGTTGAACATCAGAGACCATATGGGAATCTGCAATCTCTGGAGATTCCTGTGTGGAAATGGGATCATATTACGATGGATTTATCATGAAGTTACCGTGAACTCCAAAGAGATATGATGCCATATGGTTAATTGTGGCCCATTTGTCAAAATCTATGCACTTTCTACCGATAAAAGAGAATTATCAATTAGAAAGATTGGCAAAGATTTACATCGAAGAAATTGTAACTAGGCATGGGGTTCCACTATCTATCATCTCAGATCATGATAGTCGGTTTACTTCAAAATTTTGGAAGAGTTTTCAGAAGGCTTTGGGATCTCAGATTCAGCTAAGTACAACATATCAACGCAGACTGACGGGCAGAGTGAAAGAACGATCCAGAATCTCGAAGAAATGTTAAGAGCTTGTGTTATCGACTTCGGGGGATCGTGGGAAGATCATCTACCCTTGATTGAATTTTCTTATAACAACAGTTATCACTTCGGCATCCAAGCGGCACCATATGAAGTTTTGTATGGCCAAAAGTGAAGAACGCCGTTATGTTGGAATGAAGTGGGTGAGAGGCAGTTAACAGGTCCAGAAATTGTTCAAGTTACTTCAGAAAAGATTGAACAGATTCGAGAGCGAATTAAAACAGCTCAGGGCAGTCATAAGAGCTATGCCGACAGACGTCGTAAGCCAATTGAATTCCTAGTGGAGGACTATGTGATGCTGAAAGTCTCTCTGTGGAAAGGGGTGGTCAGATTCGATAAGAGAGGTAAGCTCAGTCTAGGATATATCGGGTCATTTAGAATGTGCAAACGAATTGGAATGGTTGCATATCTGTTGGATCTACCAGAAGAGCTTAGTTCAGTCCATAACACTTTCCATGTGTCTAATATACGAATTTGACAAATCCGCTACCAGAAGTGAAATTAGACAATAAACTGAACTTTGTGGAGACACCAAAATCTTTCACTGATCAGAAAACCAGAGTGTTCCAAAACAAATAGATTAGTCTGGTAGAAGTTCAGTGGCACTTCCATAAGGGTTTAGAGGCAACCTAGGAGTTAGAATCTGATATGAGGACCAAATATCCATGGTTGTTTAATTGAATGTATCCCGTGACATAATTCTTTTGAGGGATGGATAATGTGATAATTGGGTTCTGGTTATACACCTCAGGTAATTGTTATGTGACTACTTGAATTATATGGTCATGTGAATAAATGATTAATTGTTATATTTGATCATATGGTATATGCATATATATATATATATATATATATGAATAAAAATTTGTATGCATGAAATTGTTTATATGCATGTGTATGCATGTTTTATATGTATACATGCATGGAAATTATGCATATAGGTGAGTGGATATTACATGTGCATGAAATTTGGTATGCATGGGTGTGTGTATTTCATATGTATATGTATCATGTAGGGGGTAGTGGAGGAAAAATGTGCATGTGTGTATGTGCATGGGTTAAAGAATAAAATAGTTTTATATTATTTTGTATTTTTTTTCTAAAACTTCCTTTCTGATTAAGGCAACATAAAAAGGGAGTTTTTTTTAATAGACAAGTTTCCTTGCCATTTTTGGAAAGTTGATATAATGAGTGAGAAATTTGGGTGTTCTGTTTGCGAAATTTGGGATCTGGAATCAAAGTAAAAGCAGATTCAAGTATTGTTATCTTCTCCAAAATTCTTTTCTTACATAAGGTGAGTTTAAAATAGTTTTGAATCAGATTGCCTTTTTCACTTATATTGGTTTTATGGCTTTAAGAATCTGCTGGTGTTTATATTTTGAATGAATGCATATACTTGATGAACTTCATTGATCGACAAGGGCTTGTATTCGGACAGAGTATTGTCCGATGAGGGCTCCTTACTGCTAAGCCTTGGCCGGTGAAGAGTACTACTGCTGCTGCTGCATAATAATTCTGTAAAGCTTCCGCATAATTTCCTTCTTGTTATTGTTGTTGTTGTTGTTGTGACATATCAAGGAGAGGTGTACATTCAGATATAAGGGTGACATTTATGGGTGTGATTATTATTATAACTCTTGTTATTATATCCATAAGACACGATAACTCTAAGTCAACATTTCTCTGTGACTTGATGACTTAGAGATATTGCTCTTATTGAAATGATAACCATGATGTTATTGAGAAGGGGAAAACGGCTTATAGCTAGAAGCTTTAACTGCCTGTGCTTTCAAATGATTTTGAGATATCATATTTTGAGTATTCCAAAGAATAGTGATTTGAACTAAAACCCAGAGGGACGTTGGTTATTATTTAATCAGTTCTTACTTAAATTTAAATCTAGTTATTAACTTAAAAGGTTTTGATTATAAACAAGAACTCTGGTGGTTGTTATTTATTAATCATGGAGATTGAGACCATAAGCTTTGAATCAGTTGTGAGTTGTGAGCTTGAGAGTTGTATTTCAGATGTCTGTGAGAACCTGAATGGATAATATTCTTATGTGGTAAGATCGTTTTATAACATGCAGTTTTGTTTTACTGAAGTTATATTTGATATAAAGTGATTGGATATTCAAATCTGAATTTCAAACAGGTTTTGGTGATTTTCACCCTGTAATTGCAAAACAAGGGTATCTCACTAGACCTCATGGTCTAACCCTCATTTTGTATTTTTGAAATATGCATTGTAGGCACAGCTGGGTTTCGGGATAATAAGAGTAAGTGAAAATATAATTATTTTCATATTATGCTTATATGCCGTTTTAAAGATCAACCTGTTGATTGATGAATTTTGAAGATACATGTTGTTATACATGTGATAGTACAAGAACATTCTTTTGTAATTTTTGAGTTGTAAATTCTGTATATAAGTTTCTTGTACTAGTGAGACTTTTGTGGTATAAAGTGTATTTCTTATATATGAAGTACATGTTATATGCAAATGTGAAAGTTTGGGGTGCTATAATTTACAAGTAAAACTCATTTACCCTTAGCCCAATTACAATGATATTACAATACAATACAAAGTAATTGACTTTATAAAACTTTTTAATACTTAGAAATATTTTAGTCCTAATTGCCCTAACAATAATTACTTCTAATTTTGCTACTAATTTACTTTTTATAATTATTGTCAATTAATTATATAAAATTTATGATCATTAATATAACGATATAAAGATAAGTTTGATTTTTATTTTAGTGTTGTTTATAGTTATTATATCTCTTCATACATATTCTAAATAAAAGGATTTAATTTTGAATTTAGTAATAAAAGATTAATTATATAAGTGGAACAAAATAGAGGGCCACATTTAATTTTGCACATGGCCTCCTAAATGTTTAAAATGGTATGAGATATGACGTGATAGTGAGGTCAAACCTAAGTCTTAGGAGTTACGACGAGACGACGATCAATGCATGACTTATGACGACAAATCTTTATCTCATATAAATTATTATACATATAAACATGTGTTTTCTATTGTTATTCAATAAGTTAATTAATTTTAAATAAGATTATACATTAAAAACTAACAAATAAACAATTTAAAAAAAATCAAATACCATGTTATAAATAATTATGATCATTAGTATAACATGGCATAAGACACAAATTTTAAATCAAGATGTGTCGGGAGACATCATGACTACTATTAAAGACGATTTTTTAAACACCGATGAAAATGTGAGTAACAACCCTAAAAAGAACAACTTTTGTTGAAAGTAGAGTACAAGTGCAAAGCCCCACCCCACCGCACCATCAAAAGAGCCCAGAACTTGAAGCCTGTCCAACGGCATGCGGACCTCAAGAAACATGATTGCATTTTCAATGTCCATATGACATCCCCCGTCATCCATGCCGGATTCCACCTTCTTCTTTCTGACACACACCTTATAATAATAATAATATACAAACTTCAACGCATTTTCAATTTGAAAACCATGCACCTCCTCTTCTTCTTCCTTCTTCTACGAATCTCTGTGGAAACACATGGCGTTAGCACATATTTCCAAACCCCATGACAGATTCCATATTTTATTCTGCTGTGCCGATTCTCACTGTCTATCTACTTCATTTAATTAAACGTTTGAGCTTTCTTCAATCCCTACTATCTCTCCCTCTCTCTCGATTTAATGCATTTGCAGACTGCGAGGTTATTGATGTATAGAATCCTACTCGTAGATCGGGGTGATTTCGAGATGGGTTTATCGTGTTCATTATTATTAGTTCAGGTGCACCCGCGATAATGATACATGAACTGGGTTTAGGGTTTGGGGGTGGCTATGGTGGTTGATGATACTGTCTACCATGGGATGCAGAGCTTCCAAAGTTGATGATTTGCCATTGGTGATACGTTGTAGAGAGAGAAAGAAATTGATCAAGGCCGCTGCGGAAGCCCGGTATGATTTCTCCTCTTCACATCTGGCATACTTCCATTCTCTTAAAGATATTGGTTATGCCCTTTCTCGATTTGTTGACGAACAACTTGTAATCCCTTCACCCACTCCATCGTCTCCCGTACTCACATTGCCATCTGATCTAGGTAAGACTAACAATGGTTCCATGTCTTCTGGCTCGATTTCACATATTCATTCAATTGATGATAATGAGAATTCAGAATCCGATTTGAGTTCGTCTTCAGATGGCCATATTCATATACATGATGGTGGTTCTGAAAATAAACCACCAGCGTCCTCGTTTAATCATCCCCGAGATTACAACAAAATGAATCCGAATGACCCTTATGTTATTAACGGAGGGTCACGGCCCTATCAACCTCCTTGGGGATCAGACCAACCTAATTGGGGTGATCCTTATGTAATTAACAGAGGACCGCAGCCCTATCAACCTTCTTGGGGTGACCCTTATGGGGTGAACGTGAACCCATCTGCATTTCCAGATCGACCTTCTTGGGGACCAAACCAATCTACTTTGGGTGAGGGTGGCCCATATGTGATGGACCCATCTGCATCTCAATATCAGCCTCCTTGGGGGACATATCAAGAGGATTTTGATTCTTACAGTGTATATGGTAATTCAAATCACTATGCTTCTTATATGAAAAAATCTGCTCCGGCTAGCCGAACTGTGATTCAACATGCAGAAGCAAGGGACTTTCAAGAAACTGGGCAATGGGTTGATCCACCACATTATGATCCTTATCAAAGTGGGGGGATTTATGAGTTTTCTTATGGTGGGCCACCACCTCCCCAAGAACCTAAGCGACCCAAAAGTCCTCCACCACCTCCTCCACCAGTTGAATCTGATTATTTTAACTTTTTTGATGCTTATGGTAATGGTTATGGATTTGGGTATGGATCTATGGGTAGTAGTCCTGATTCAAGTGAAGTTAGAGAGAGGGAGGGAATTCCTGACTTGGAAGAAGAAACAGAAACCGAGTCTCATCATGAAGAAGTTTTAAAGGGAAACACGTTCAATAGAAGAAGAAATTCATGTGAAAGCACATCCAGATCAGTTGCCAAAGAAGATACTCAAGGCAGGGAAGCTCCCAATAGTACTGAGGGTAGTTCTAGAAGAATACCACCAAGAAAAAGTGGAGGCTCTTTGAGTTCAGTACCATCAGAAAATAATGAGGGAGCGCAATCTGTAAACAGTGAAGTAGATAAGCATAGCCCTGAGACAGTTGTTTCACAAAGCATGGGGAAGGGGTATGAGAATAAAAAGGGGGAAAGTTTTGATATAGATGAGGTGTCAACACATGAGTTTGAATCCTCAATCTTGAGTAGTTTGACAACATTATCTGCTCATGGTTCTCGAGATCTTCAGGAGGTAGTTAATGAAATCAAGGATGAATTTGATAGTGCCTTTGGTTATGGGAAGGAGGTTGCCTTGATGCTTGAGGCAGGGAAGTTGCCTTATCAATCAAGGTTTGCAGTTCTTAAGGGTAAACAACATTTGATTTTTGTCACCATAATACATAGTCATAATATGCTTTTTCTCATTATTTTGTTTATTGTTATGACTTTCAATCTATTCTGATTATGTTTCTAGTTTTTTTGTTACTGGAATTGGTTTGATTCAGAAGACTAGGAGAAGGATCAGGATATTAAGTAATAGCCTCGAAGTTCAGTTTCTTCTGCATGAATAAGGAAAAATGTTGTAAATTTTGTACATGTTTATCGATCAACCGAATTTATTTTGAAGGGAAAAAGCATAATTAAGCAACAATGAAGTGATATTAAGTACTTCTCACTATGCACATCTAAGGTGTTGTTTGGTTGATTTTCGCGTTAACCCCTCTATGTATAAAGCTGTCAGTATGGTCTAGTCTGTCTGTATATTGGAAAGGTTATTTTTTATGAGGTTTCTTTCATAGATGGAAGGAGTGTGTTTTTTAACTAGGAGGGACAGGTTTGAAAGTAACTTGGCTTTCTGCATAAAGAACCCTCCTAAAAGCTTACTAAATAAAGCCACTTTCTATATCATTAGAGCACTACCAAACAGTCACTTATAGCTGACTGAATAAGCTGTGAGTCCCATTAAGCTACTAACAAAATGGTGACTATCATATTTATCACAAACCACCAGTTAAATCATATATTTTCTTAATTTATATTAATGATGTTCAGAAGATTCTTTGGATTGGAGTTTTAAACTGTATCACAAACTAGTTATATATATGTCACTTTGCAGTGGTCTTGTCCAGGATTCTCTATCCGTTAGGACCTCCATTTGCATCATCAGACCATCCAATACAATCAGCAAGGTCATGTTCTCGAGTAATGAAACTAGCAGGATCCTATAATGTGGATGCAGTTCCAGATGTTGGGTTCACCAACCTTTCATCTACTTTGGAGAAGCTATATGTGTGGGAAAAGAGGTTGTACAAGGAAGTGAAGGTATTATTACAATGATATTCGTTGTTCTCCTAAGATGTGGTTGAAATTATGTATTTTGTCATCTGAGATGTAATTTGTTCCATCATATCTAGATTTTTGTATCGTTATTGTTTTAACAGTTGTACGTAAAATTCTCGACACAAATGACACTTTGTGTTTAAATTTAATTTTAGTAATTAATCTGGGATTGATACATGAGGTGGTTGGTCTGGTTTTAGGATGAAGAGAGGCTAAGAGTGATGTATGAGAAAATGTGCAAGAGGCTGAATGAATTGGATGCACATGGAGCAGAATCTAGTAAGATCGATGCTGCACAAACTTCTATTCGGAGGTTATCGACTAAGCTTAATGTGTCTATCAAAGCTATTGATGCCATATCTAGCGAGATACACAAGGTGAGGGACAAGGAATTGCAGCCACAAGTCAGTGAGTTAATCTATGGGTATGAACATCTTCTCAATGTTGGTATTTACAACCATCAACTCTTGCTATACTTTTTTCTTCATTTAGTTCTTTATTTTGATGAAAACAAATAATCTCTTGCATGGATTGTATAGAGAGAAAGAGACCATGCTTTCCCTTTAATTTGCAGGATTTGATTGGATTTTGAATTGAATCTCATTCCAATCCCATGTTTGGTTTGATGAATTTCCAGGATTTGAAATCTGGGGATTTCATTGAAATCACACAAACATAGGATTTTGAAATCCCGCTGATGGTTGGTATTTGATGGGATCTATGTGTAATAATGTTTTAAAATATGTTAAAAACGTTTGTTTTGTAATAGTCATTTAATATAAAGAATTTCTAAAAATAGAAATTGACATAACGGAATTACAGTCATTTCGTTAACCTTTTTTCCTTTTGTTTTCTTATTTTATCTGGTTATAGCAAATGGCCTAGCATGTATACTCTATTTTCAGGGTTCTCTGAAACCAGCATATTACAGCCCTAATGTTCTCATGGCATTCTTTAGAGCCATGACTAAAACCGTTGCTTCCCATGCACAATATGGCGTTCTTCAACAATAAAGTTGCCCTTTTTCCTTTATAACAATATGGAGTTCTTCAACACAGCAAACAAATCGTTCAACAATAAAAAAAATTTGTTTCTTGGGGATAGACGTCTCACAGTTGTATCACAAGATATAGGGTCTGTTTGTTTGCAGCACAAGTTTAATGGGACTCTCAACTTATTCGGTCAGCTATACATGACTGTTTTATAGTGGCTTAAATGATATGATAGTGGCTTATTCAGTAAGCTTTTAGGAGGAGCCGTATGCAGAAAGCCAAGTTTTTTTCAAACCTGTCCCTCCCAATTAAAAACATGCTTCTTCCATCTATGGAAAAACCCTCCCAACCTGTACAGGCAAATTAATCCACACAAACAACTTTATCCATACTAGATTTAATGGAACCCCAACCAAACAGCCCCTTACTTGGTATGTTAGAAAAGATATGTTCTGGATCTTCTGTTTCAGCGTGGTGTAACAGTCTCTTGTTTTGTAGCAAGGGAAACTTCCATGATCAAGAAAAAAAACGAATTAACTACTTAAATTATAACTATCCCAAATAGTTGATATCCGGTGAATGTTGATGTCGTTGAGATTTTGTTGCCCTTCATATCTTTAGTCATTCAAAGGGTTCTATTGGTTTTCTGATAGTGACTTGGCTGGATATCTGATGCCGGTGACTTGTTTCTTGCTTCAATACAAAGTCTGGACTCTATATAACATCAAATGGCTTGGAACAAATGGTTGGTTTGTGAGTCAATGCTTTCTAAGCCCTACGTAGATAGATAATATTTGGGTGTAACTCAACTGGTATGACCTTGGGTTTGCTCCCCACTTCTATGTCCCCATAAGACGACCAGGCTGTTAACTTCAAGGTCCCAATGGATCAGTTGAGGTGTGTGCAAACACACACGATCTAGAAAAAGAGTATGAACATAATAAGATGGCAATCTACTTCTACTTGTAGCATGATTGTTCCCTTTATAAAAATGGTTTATTTCATTGTTTTCTCCACAGACTGATAAGAATGTGGCAATCGGTTGTTAAATGTCACCGGAAGCAGTTCGAAGCCTTCATGGAGAGCAGAAGTCGGACGTTAAGGGCAAACACGAGCCTTGTAAGCTTGAGAGCCGTGCTTGAGCTGCAAACAGTACTTATAACCTGGTGCCAACATTTTAATGACTGGATTGATGCCCAGAAATCATACGTTGATTCCTTAAACGGGTGGCTACAGCATTGTATTGATCATGAACCAGAAGTAACCATTGATGGCGAGATCCCTTATTCCCCAGGTCGTATAGGAGCTCCACCGATTTTTGTCATATGCAACGACTGGCACCGTGAAATAAGCGGCATTTCACAAGATCGAGTCTCCAAAGCAATACATGGTTTTGCTTCAAATTTGAGGCAACTGCTCGAAAGACAAGATAACATTCAACGTTTAATGCTTAAAAAGGAGTATCTTGCCAAGGATTTTGCGAGAAAACATCAGAATGTAGGGAAGAAGACACGAGATTCGTTGGCGGATAAAACAGGCGGGTCAATGGTTCCCTCGGATAGTGGAGTGGATCTGGATTCTTTGAGAAAGGTGGAAGAAGAATGGGAAAGGCACAAGGAAGCTGCTATGAAGTTGGTTGATAAGGGTAGTTCAACTAGTTTACAAGGTGGTGTCATTCCAATCTTCAAGGCACTAGAAAATTTTACTTGTGATGCTTTAAAAGCTCATGAGCAGGTAAGATTGCAACAACAGTCTTGATATAATCAGGGTAAATTAGGAAACATGTGAAGGCTAGTTTAATGTCAGGATTACCAGTTTATCAAATGGTTTTAGGTTTATTAATAGGGTTGGGTTTCCCAAAAATGGAAATTAGGGTAAGAAGTGATGTGCCCCAATTGGATCAATTATAATTGAAGATCAACACTAATGCGGTGCATTGATGCACCGGATCAATTTATGTGATAAGCACAATTCATAAGTAGGGTGAGATTAAAAGTGATTAAGGGTCCAAATTCATTCTTAGACTTCTTAGTCTAACTCCTTTTACACGATCATCAGTGTATCTTTACAACCATTTGTGTTGGGGCTATGTACGAGCGGTGCCGTTTAGTGACGAGAATAATTTTATTATAGTTTTTTTTAAATAATGACATTCTTTTGGCAGTTCTAAGAACCTTTTTAGGGATATAACCTTAATAAAATTATAATTAAATTTATGATCTCCTCTAGTAAAAAATGGTTTCATATTTATTAAAATATCATCGATTTAATTAAAATATCATTTAACACTATATACGTAACTAACTATACCAACGTTGGGATGTCTAACCTAAAAATTTGTGAAATGGTCATGTATTAAAAAAAATGTTATATAGTTATTTTCCTAAACAACCCTGTTTGTTTGTGGTTGTGATTTGTGAGTTCCAAGTGTTTTTACACCAAGTGATTGATGATATTATAGCATTCATGATGACGGTTTTTGATAAGACTTTTCTTGAGGTTATATAAGATTTTTTTATTATGGGATAAAGGTTCTTGTTTTGTTACAAGTTCTTATTAGTATATAGATGTTTAAACAAAAACACAGATTTATATATATCTATACTATCTTATAATACATTTGGCTAAAACTCTTAAAAACTTTTAAAACTCTTAAAATCTCTTAAAGACAACCTCTATTGCTAATGGTACAACCTATTAAAGCCATCCTTAAACCTTAACGATTTCATCCCTATTCGATTTCATCCCTATTCTATTTCATCGCCAACAGAAACGATTTTATCTCTATCCGATTTCATCGCCAACAAATTTTGAAGAATACAGATTCGATTTCATCCCTAACCGATTTTCAAGAATACATATTCGACTTAATCTCGAACCATTTGTAGGTATAACCCCCCTTCCCCTTAGGGCAACTCCAATCGAATGGTAAAACCTTAGTTTTGCCGTTCTTTTGGATCCAATCGACCTGCAAAAACACCAAAACTATAGCGGTCGCTGAAAATGAACGGCAAATATGCCGGGGGAGAAAAACGACATCTTGCCAAATTGGTGGTCCCCACCATGTTTTCCCAATATTTAATTATTTTTAAATAAATTATAAATAAATAAATAATTACAAATATTAAGTTTTAGGTTTTTATATTTATTATTTAAATATATATATATATATATGTATATATAATAAATTATTAATAACACAAATATGATACCGGATAAACGTAAACGTATTTTATTAATGGAAATTTTAAAAACTGAAATACATAAATTAAAGGGTCCAATCGTCTCCGCTAGGCATAAACTGACTAAAGCTTCCTGCTACGTTTATTTATGTGTTTTTTAATTTGTGCTATTTGAACTAATGTAATAATTTTAAATATAAAATTTATTAATTACAATTTTATCGTTTTTATTTTAACATTTCTTCATTAAATAAATTAATTACTAATTCTTTATTATTATAATATTTATTACAAATTATAAATATTGTTATTAAAAATAGTAAATAAAATATGTTATTTTAATATGGGGTCCACAAATTTGGTGTTTTTTTAGAGAATTATTGGAGTTGAGTTTTTTTTTTGTTTATGGGCCCACCAGATTTGGTGTTTTTGGTGTTTTTTTTGGTGATGAGGTTGGAGTTGCCCTTAGGGCCTCAACCTCCCCGTCGAATCTCCTACGTCGTTTTCTCTCTCTTTCTGGTCGTCATCGACAATGAACAGTGGACCAGGACTTTTCTCCGATATCGGCAAGAAAGCCAAAGGTGCGTTTCCAACTTTGATCTTCTTCTACACATTGAATTCTCTAAATGATCGAAATATATATGCATACGACTTTGGATTTAGTTTATGTGAGCAATTTTCTATATGTTGTTGGTTATGTGTAGATCTGCTAACAAGGGACTACCTATCGGATCAGAAGTTTTCTGTTTCAACGACCAGTGTTACCGGAGTTGTATGTATCGATTGCACTTTTTTTTTTCTATCATTATCCTTGATTCTGCGATTTTGTGAGATGTGCCCTATGGATTTGAGCTATTCTTTGTACCTTCAGCTTTATCCATTGTACCTTCGATCTTTCACCTAACCATTGATTACATCTCTCACGTGAAGTTGAAAAAGGGAACCGAAAACCCTTAATTAAGAAGCATCTTCACTTGGTGGTTTGATTATTTCTAGGGTTTGCTGAAACGGTAAAATGTCAAAATCGTTTTTGTTCAAGTCTTAATGTATTATATCTGTCGTTATTAGCTTCAATTTTTAATTTTATATCCATTGTGATTGCAGCTTCATTGACAATCGATTCATCCTTTTTGTTATAAAATTTGAAAAGGAGTGAAGAGATACGTTCAGATCCAGATCTGTTAGAGTGAATTCAAGTGGAGGTTCACTARTGGCTTCCAAATTGGTAATGATTGTGGTCTCTGTTCTTGATCTGATCGCATTCGGCTTGGCTGTTGCTGCTGAACAAAGGAGAAGCACTGTGAGTAGCTTACGTTCTTAGTTCTTTTCTCGATCTACACTCATTTGGTTGCATTTTGTATCAGTTCTGTTTTATCCTATTGATTTACTTCCTGCATTTTAGTGAACACAAGATAGTTCAATAACAACTGATCGTGTTATCTGTTGAACTTTCTACTTGATCTAATTTAGAAATCTGTGAGATTGAATCCTGATCTGATTACTTGATTGAAACCCTGCTTGATTGCTAACCTATGAAATAGATCTTAATTCAAGTTGTTGTTTGTTCGGAATGATTTGGGCACCCCAAATGTTGCTTTGATTATGCAAATTCTGATACCATGATGTCTATATAACTTGAGAAAAACTTTAATCTGTTTCAGTAGATCTCATGGTTGGATTTCATCATAATGTGGCCTATTTTGGTTTGATTATGCGAATTAATGAAAAATACTGTAACATCAGTTACGCTCTTTGAATAAAAGAAACTATTTATCCAAATAAATTTTTCCATAAAACAGTCTCCAAGCAAATACGGGATATATGTTATAAATTTCCACCAAAAGACAAAATAACATAGTCTGCAAAAGACGATTTTTAGTACTATAAGTCGGATCCATAAAATACAAATATATCTACTCAAAAGTATTATATACCTAGATCCGACTCAAACGATACTCGTACAGCAGATCTAAACCGTCTAATCCTTCACCTGGGCAGCTATCGGCTTTCATGAAAAGAAAGTTCATTCTAAAAGATTAAGCCACAAGGTTTAGTGAGATTATACCAAAGCTTATATTTATATATATTATAAATACAAAGCAAATCATAAACGAAGCAGAAAAAGAGTCGTTTAATTAAGAATTTGATCGAAAAATAATCTGATAAAATTGTCCAAAACACTGTGCAACCAGAGGGCCACTGGTCTATACAACCAGAGGGCCGATGGATAAACAGAAGGTCGAAGAATCAATACAAACAGAGGATTGGTGGATCAATACAACCTGAGGATCGATGAATCAATACAAACAGATGATCGATGG